TACGACTGGAGTTGTGTGTGTTCTGGAGAAGAAACTTGAGAAGACTTAGAGAAAACAGCTTGTTCCCTTTTGTTTTTTTCAAGGGGTCAGCTCACCCAAAACACTTAAAACATATTTTCTCCCTTTATGGCAGGTGGTATTTAAACTTGTGGTCAGTTTTGGTTTTATTTGTCCAGGTTTTGAGATATTTCTTCGACCTGAAAACAGTGGAGGTGAATGGAAATTCATTTGTTGTGCTTAAAGAATAGTTTTGAAGCTGTCGGCAGCAACATGTCTTTCCAGAAACAGCATCCCAAGTTTGAACCAAAGTAACAGCTTTGAGAAGAGCAGTGGTAAGAGAGAAAACATGTTTTTTTTGTGGGGTTTTTCAGCGAATTGAGCTTTTAAGGTTTATGACAATTGCTTCACTGCTTATGAAGCTGACATATGGGGGGCCGCCGTCTTGTTCTTATTTTTGTTTGTTTTAAGTAATCAGTGTTTGGCCTTGTTTTAACATACATACTTTATAACCTCAGATCATAACATGGGAAGTTTTTTTCTCACCAAAAACAATCAAGGTTTTTGGTACATTTCACTCTCAATTTTAGTTTAAATAGATCAACAACATGACCGTCACAGCACAGATATACTTGGAAAACAGTATACATCATTGCGTCGTTGCTCCCCCTCTGTCTTATATTACTTGTAGCTTTTGGCATCGGTTCACATGCAGACTGGCCTTTTGCATTAACTGTAAACTCGATCAGCCGGGACTCTGCTGCTGTCTCACTCACACACTTTAACATCAGCCTACTGTATGTGTGGCTGTACACAGAAATAAACAGGTATTAGTTGCATCAAAGTCAGGCTTCCTGTGGTATATACCCACAAAGACAGGTGGATAAACATATTTACACTCTCCCCGTGAGTCACAAGTGAAGAGCTGGGAGGTTTTTGCCGCCATTCCTCGCATTGTTCGTCTCACTCTATTTTTAAAGTGCCGTCACCAGGCTTGTTAGAGGCTCAGACATATGCCGCTCCCATTGTTGTTTCAGAGATTACTGATTGGGTAAAAAGTGATATCTGCCCAACAGCTGCTCATGTGGTGCTGACGCCCTCTTTCCCAGCCTGCAGTCCTCTGACGTCGCTGTTGTCAAGTTCCCTGTTGAAAGTTGGATATTTTTCTGTCTGAGTGATGACTGGTCTTCATACCATGGTGAAAAGGCTCCACCGATTGATTGACACACCGGTGGACGGTGGTGGTCTGTAATGATCTGCAGTAATGAAATATGATATATTTGCTTTTCAGTACCCAACCTGTTTGTGGAGCTCATGCAGCATGTGACAAAGAAATGTTGGAATTTGCAACCCAAGTGTGTTAGGATAACAGTTATTCTTCTGAAGTTGTGCAAATACTTCTGGATAAAACTTGGAACCAAACACTAGTGAGGTATAGTTTTAAAAATCTCAACTGGCTGAGACAGATGGGAATACAAATCCACTCTACACAGTCTGAATTTGGAGAAATATTAATGTTGTTTAATGTAAATGTACTATTAAAAATATCCGACTGTCATGATTTAATGAAAAGTAGCATCATTAGCCTTGTTTGGGATAGGGTGCCTCTTTCTCTGAATGTCTGATGCGTTATCTCATACCATGGTCCCAGGTAAATATTTGTTTCTGATTACCTGGCTGGTGTTCATTAAAACTGTGCCAAAGTCCTGGTTCAGTTTAATCACTATTTTGAATCAGTGCACCAGTTCAAACTAACCATGGGATAAATTGACAACAAGCAAACTGACACACTGGATGACATTTTGGGTAATCTTGTAGGTCGGGCAGTTGCTGCTGTTGGTTGTGGATATTATGGGTCATGGATTTGATGGAATTTGATGGGTTCCAGCTGATCCACTCCAAAACTGAACTGTAGGTGAAACTGTCATGCAGATCCACTCAACACAAGCTCTGTAGAACTTTCCAGAAACTGTCATGATTTTTGACTTCATTTAAGCGTAGCAATATTCTGCCAGAAAACTTGGTTTGCAAGCTGACTTTACCAGGACAACTTTGTTTACATTGTTACGCTGCGTTCTATTTTCCTTGGATGTCAGAGCTGAAAATGACGTCACGTGCAAGTTGACGCAAGTTGCACTCCGGTACAACAAGTGGGAAGCTTGTTATTGTTGTTGTTTTGCTTGTTGTTGTTAGTGTTAGCAATATCAGTTACTAACAACACATGATGCAATGTTCTGTGCATACAAACACAGCGGCAACATGTCCACAGATAGAAGTACGACTGATTTAATAAGACACAAATAAGACAGAAGAGCTATTAAGCAGTGTATTACTACAGCTTTCACTTCTGTTGATGTGCGGAGCAGCCATCTTGGATTTTAAGGTTGGGATTGGTGAGGTTCTTCCGCCTCTGCCTTGGAAACTCGACTTCAGGAAGCGTTTCAGTTGAAATTTCCGATAGGGAACTTGGAAATTCAGACTTCCCAGTCCAAATGGAACACACCATTATACAAGCCTGCATAATGGCTGCCAGCCTTCTGGAGGACTTGAGGCTAAATGGACATTTCTGGATACGTCTTTCATTAAAAATGTAAATATAAATTAGCTTAAAAGTTGACATGACTTATGATTGCAAAGGTGGACGTAAATCTAAATTGGGTTTTCTCATTTCTGAACATGACACCAAACCAATAGGGGTCCTCCAAGTAAAGAGTTTGTCTTCACATTGGGGGGAAAAAAATGACCCACTAACAAACTCTAATAAACTAGTCTTCCACACTCCAGATGATCTGTGATGTGGTGAAGTTTTATGACACTTTATCCAAGGAGATTTGCACCTCTTTCCAGGGACACGTATGTCTTTCATGGAACGGACATGCTTATCCTGTCTATCCCTTACTGCTATTATTGCTTCACAGTATCACTGTCACATGTCCGCCCCATCATGTTTCCCTGGAAACCAGCCTCCTACGGGGGCATGTGCCTGGAAGTCGAGAGGGGAGCAGTGGGTTGACCTTTCGTCATAAGGGTTATGTGAGACAAGGCTGGGTGTTTGGGTCGGGTGGGAGGGGTAGTGGGTGTATATGAGATACTGTAGCTTCTGGTAGCCTCTCATGTCTAGATACATGATGAGGGGGAAGGGGGTTTGGATGGGGTTTCAAGGGGAAAAGGGTTCAGAAGGAAAAATGGAAGGATGAAAGCTTATCAGGGACAGTGGCCTTTGGTGGTTTAGTTCATCTCCTTTAGGAAACACTTGGATCACTATGTTACACTCGGACAGCAGCAGCAAGGCATCAAACTCCACACTTTCAGCTCGACAGCTGTGCACATTGGGAGGAAAACTGACCAGGAGAAAACAGGATTTCCATTGTTAGCAGCTGCCAACAAACGCTAATTTTCACAACTTCAAATGCCAAAACGTTTCCTTGAGTGCTGTCTGCAAGAGGGATACATGTGGAATATGTCAGTAACACCACATTAAATCAGCTGTTCCATGATCACTTCTCAATTCAAGGTACTTTTACACATAGATGCCAAAACCTCCATATGCAGAGATACTGAAATAGTAGCTACCAGGGTATAAACAGTATGGCAAAATGTTTGACAGGCTACACATTTATATCGTTATACAGTATATATGTTGTTAAGATGGTGCTTAACAATCACATCACTTGTGCATCTTCAATATGCTAACACTCCCTTAAAGACCACAATCATATGGTTTCCAATTAGCAGGGGAACCTCACTGCTGTGTTCACTGGCGAGAACCTGCCTGGCTGTTGTAGTAACGAGATCTCCATGGTGATTTCACACAAGCTGTTTCCAGGACAGCTGCGTTCATAGGACATGTAGTTTCCATCCTCTGTTGAGGCTTATATTTAGTACATTGTCATTTAATCTGATGAAGCCTGTTGAGGCATTTACCTAGAACACTCTCTTACTCTGATGGTTTGATTGGTTCTGTGTGAACAGCAGTGGACACTTGGCTTAGTCTGACATCAGTATGCTTCAGAAACACTTTGGGATTGAATGTTCTTGAATCTTTGTGACGGTCCAGTAGAGCAGTACTCATTTATCACTTACGACATTTCAGCTTTGACGAAACCCACTGGGATCCATCTAGTTAAGGTAGTGGAGAGAGGCTAAGAGAGGAAGTGGGACTTTGACTGCCTCACACCCTCATCTATTTATCGCACATTACCTACACATGAGCCATGTGTGTGCCTTTTAATAGCTGTTTTATGTGAAGTGAGCACGAGGGCTGATAGTAGAGCTTAAACGGGAGATGATTTTAAGGAAGGGTGAGAGTGTCATACATCACCAGGTGGCCCAGAATTCCCCGCAGTACCACAGCATGGAAAGCACTTTCACATCCCATCTGCCACCTGTCTGTTAAGTCATCTTTCAAGTTTTATTGTGGGCTTCTTAATTTAGACGATGACATTTGCACTGTACTGGCCTTTTTTTCTTGGACTAAATTTTATCAATGACCTTCAACCAAGTAGAATTCTAATCCTCCAAATAAACCCCTGCAATCCCTTTATCGGTCAAGTCAACTGATGATATTATTTTTAATGCAGAGTCACTGCATATTGTATCAGTCAAGTCACTGTTGCCACAGGAAGTGCCAACAGCTGTAGGTCAGATGATGTCAGAGTCCAGGAGGAGACTACAAAGAGAAAGCAAAGTGTGAATGAATTCTTTTGGAGATTGATCATCAACTTACAAGGTGATAATACGTCAGTGTTCCAGTGTTGCCTTTACAGCTTGTTCCTGCTGCCTCAAAGTGGCCAAAAAAACTCAGTTAATGCAGATCTAAATGACAAAATAATCTCTACAGCTTCATCAATAAACAAAACCAATGTGTGTTGTGTCAGACACTTTGTATGGCCAACCATCCACCTGTCCTCCATCATTTTAGAGACTTTCAGTGTCATCATACACTGTCAAGGCGACTTATCTTAAAGATGACTAACATGGCTTCTTTCTTAATTTCCCTGTAGCTGGGAGATCATTGACTCGGGCCAGGAAAGCCGGTCTGGGACTGGACCCCAGCTCAGCGACTCCCTCAGACTTTTCCTCCAGGAGACATCGGCTTTCAAACAGCAGAACCCAGGCAAGGTGAGGCAGAGACGGCCGACGACCCCAGACTAACCTCAATGGTTCACTGAGTTACAGTGGACGAGCATGTGGTTTTCAGGATTTCTAGAGGTATTTTGCCCACTCAGATACAAACTGGTTTTATCACTCTCTGGGGGTTTAAATGGTGAAGCAGGTTCAGGAAATTATGAAGCTGGAATAGTCTAAAGACGGCAGGTTCTGAAAGTGGAAATCATTTAATCCATGCAGCAGATGAATTTTGTTTCAGTTTGATAGTTTATAAGAAAACCATGGAGACAGCTGGTGAGTCTCTAAATTCACATTATTATTAGAGATGGAAAAAGTCAAATGATGCAACGCTACAGGTTGAAATTTTTGAAAACTATCTGATGTTAATTTCTGTAAAGTGACATGATTTTTTCTAAATTCTGAAAATCTTTGCCTTCACCATTTAAACCCCAGAGAGTTAAAAACCAGTTTGTATCTGGTGGGCAAAATACCTCTAGAAATCCTGAGCAACCACATGCTCGTCCACTGTAACTCAGTTGAACCATTGAGGTTAGTCTTGGGTCGTCGGCCGTCTCTGCCTCACGCTTGCCTGGGTCTTGTGTTTGAAAGCCGATGTTCTCCTGGAGGAAAAGTCTGAGGGAGTCGCTGAGCTGGGTCCAGTCCCACAACCGGCTTTTCCTGGCCCGAGTCAATTGGATCTTCCCAGCTACAAGGGAAATTAAGAAAAGAAGCATGTTAGTCATCTTTAAGATAAGTCGCCTGACAGTGTATGATGACAACTGAAAGTCTCTAAATGATGGAGGACAGGTGGATGGTTGGCATACAAGTGTCTGACACAACAGCACATTGGTTTTGATTTATTGATGAAGCGTAGAGATGTATTTTGTATTTAGATTCGCACTAACTCGGAGTGTTATTTTGGCCATTTTGATGCACAGGAACAAGCTGTATTAAAGGCCAACACTGGAACACTGACGTATAATCCACTTGAAATACCAGTTGAATGAATTCAATTCTCCCAAAAGAATTCATTTCACACTTTTGCTTTCTCTTTGTAGTGTCCTCCTGGACTCTGACACATCATCTGACCTACAGCTGGTTTGGCACTTCCGTGGCAACAGTGACTTTGACTGATACAATATGCAGTGACTCTGCATTAAAAATATATCAATCAGTTGACTTGACCGATAAAGGGATTGCAGGGGTTTATTTGAGGATTTAGATATGTCTTACTTGGTTGAAGGTTCATTGGATAAAAATTATAGTCCAAAGAGAAAAAAAAAAAAAGGCCAAAGTACAGTTGGCAAACGTGTCACAGTCTAAATTAAGAGAAGCCCTACAATTAAATACTTGAAAGATGAGCTTGACAGACAGTGGGCAGATGGGATGTGAAAGTGCCTTTCCATGCTGTGGGTACTGCGGGAATTCTGGGCCACCTGGGTAGTTATGCAACTCTCACCCTTTCTTAAAATCATCTCCCGTTTTAAGCTCTTACTAAATCAGCCCTCGTGCTCACTTCACATAAAACAGCTATTAAAAGGGCCACACACAATGGGCTCATGTTGTAAGGTAATGTGCGATAAATAAGATGAGGGTGTGAGGCAGTCAAGTCCCACTTCCTCTCTTAGCTCTCTCCACTACCTTAACTAGATGGATCCCAGTGGGTTTCGTCAACTGGTATGTCGTAAGTGAAAATGAGTACTGCTCTTACTTGGACCGTCACAAAAGATTCAAGAACATTCAATCCCAAAGTGTTTCTGAAGCATACTGATGTCAGACTAAGCCTCACCACCCCAAGTTCCACTGTCTGTTCACACCAGAACCAATCAAACCACAGAAGTAAGAGGGGTGTTCTAGGTAAATGCCTCAACAGGCTTTCATCAGATTAAATGATCTATTATAGTACAGAATATAAGCTCTTCCAACAGAGGATGGAAACTAGCATGTCCTATATGAACGCAGCTGTCCTGAAACACTTGTGGTGCAATCACCATGAGATCTCGTTACTACAACAGCCAGGCAGGTTCTCGCCAGTGAACACAGCAGTTGAGTTCCCCTGCTAATTGGAAACCCATATGATTTGTGGTCTTTAAGGAGTGTAGGCATATTGAAGACTGCACAAGTGGATGTGATTGTTTAAGCACATCTTAACAACATATTATACTGTATTAACGATATAAATGTGTGAGCCTGTCAAACATTTTGCCATACTGTTTTATACCCTGGTAGCTACTATTTCAGTATCTCTGCATATGTGAGTTTTGGCATCTATGTGTAAAATGACTTGAACTTGAAAGAGAAGTGATCATGGAACAGCTGAGTTTATGTGGTGTTACTGACATATTCCACATGTAATCCCTCTTCGCAGACAGCACTCAAGGAAACGTTTTTGGCATTTGAAGTTGTGAAAAATTAGGTTGTGGCAGCTGCTAAACAATGGAAATCCTGTTTTCTCCTGGCAGTTTCCCGCCAATGTGCACAACTTGTCGAGCTGAAAGTTTGGAGTTGATGCCTTGCTGCTGCTGTCCTGAGTTAAACATAGTGATCCAAGTGTTTCTAAGAGAGATGAACTAAACACCAAAGGCCACTGTCCCTGATAAAGCTTTTCATCCTTCCATTTTTGCCTTCTGAAACCCTTTTCCCCTTGAAACCCCATCCAAACACCCACTCCAAACCCTCCTCCCTCATCATGTAATCTAGACATGAGAGGCTACCACGAACTACAGTATATCTCATATACACCCACTACCCTCCCCCACCGTACCCAAACACCCAGCCTGTCTCTACAATAAACCCTTTATTGACGAAAGGTCAACCCACTGCTCCCCTCTTCGACTTTCCAGGCACATTGCCCCGTAGGAGCTGGTTTCCAGGGAAACATTGAGTGGGCGCGGACAGTGTGACAGTGATACTGTGAAGCAAATAATAGCAGTAAGGGATAGACAGGATAAGCATGTA